CTGCTACATTTTGCAGACAACAGGAAATCAACTCCAAGCTGGCCCCCACAGTGACACAGCAGGTGTGGCCCAGATTAACAGCATGCCCTCCAGCCTCAAAGTCTGGATTAAAGACCTGTGTTGTCCAGCTTCCTCCAACAAGACCACACCTCCCAACAGTGCCACTCCCTGTGATCTTATGGGGCCAAAAACATTCAAACTACCACAAAAAGCAAATCTCTCAGATGAAATACTCCATACAAAAAGAAGATTCTTCTGTTCCCCATCCCAGACTCTGCTCTGTAGGCTGCAGAGGGGAGAAGGCACCAACAGGTTTACTCAGCCCTGGATCCTGCATGACAGTGCTGACTGGGCAGGCAAGATGTGCCCCCTGGGCAACAGTGGCAGGACCGTTCTGAGGTAACTAATTGTCTTCTGGCTAGAGTTAAGGCCTGCTCCAGAATATGGGGTACTCCTGTAGCAGAGGGAAAAGCTCTGCCCTGAGTTTGTTGGGTATCAGAGCACAGGAAGGAATAGCTTTCTGGTGGAGGAAATTTAAGTGTGCCGTATTAGTCAGGATTCTCTAGAGGAACAGAACTCAAATAAAATGAATGTATATGTGTGTATACATGTGCATACATATACTCATATATAATAAATTATGTATACATATATATCAATATATGATTTATTAGAGTGGCTTACACGCTGTGGTCCAACTAGCCCAACAATAGCTGTATCCCAACAGAACATTTAAGAATCCAGCAGTTGTTCAGTCCATGAGGTTGGTTGTCTCAGCAGGTCTTTAATGTATGATGTGGGATGTTCTTCTGCGTGCTGCTGATATGTGATGCTTTTATTGATTGATGAATAAAGCTGCTTTGGCAGAATATAGCTAGGTGGGAAAGCCAAACTGAATACAGGGAGAAAGAAGGCAGAGTCGAGAGAGACACCAGCAGCTGCCGGAGAAGCAAGATGTGAGGTAACAAACCATGAGCCTTGTGGTAAAATACAGAATAATAGAAATGGGTTAAGTTGTAAGAGCTAGTTAATAATAAGTCTGAGCTAATAGGTCAAAGAGTTTGTAGTTAATATGAAGCCTCAGAGTGATTATTCAGGAACTGTGGGGTGGGAGAGAAACCTCCAGTTACAAATGGCACCCAAGAGTTGGCTGTGGCTTGCTCCTTTCTCTCTCTGATCTTTCTGCATATGCCCTGATATCTGGCTCTGGGTTTTTATTAGTAAGACCAATTAAACTCATGCAACACATGTATGTCAGGATCCTGAGGAAGCAGGCTCTAACCAGTGAAGGAACGCCTCAGGAGAATGATCTATGAACTTGCCAGTGATAATGAGTGACAGGAAAATGTGTGGCTCGGATTGTGGGTGGGTCTTCTGAGGAGGAGTACCCAGCCACTTGTGGTTTATTCTTATTTTTTTATTTTTTATTCTAGGCATAGTCAGGTTGACAACCAAGAATAGCTATCACATGTGGCTCCCTTGGAACTAATGGTAACTTTACATCTGCCAGGTTACCTTCCTCAAGTTAAGGAAAATTTCCATCTATGAAAAGCTAAATCTACAAAGAAAATGCTACACTAGACATTGTGGTGCAAGCCTGTAACCTCAGCAATGGCGTGCACACGTAAGCTAGGGGAAAACATTGGTGTCCTTCTCTATTTGCTCTTGGCCTTATTCTGGGTCTCTGAGGTAGTCTCTATTGGACCCTGGAGCTAGCCTGGCAGCCAGCAAGCCCCAGCCATCTTGTTGTCTCTACCTCCTACAGGACTGAGGTTATAGATACATGGAGATACACTGTGGCTTTTTACTCGAGGGCTGTGGATTCAAACTCAGATCTTTAATTCTTCACTGCATTCCTACCCACTGAGCCTTCTCCCTAGTCCCTGGTTGTTTTCTTTCTTTCTTTCTTCATTCATTTATTTTAGAAAATAGAATCTTTTTGTTTGCAAGTTTTTTAATAATAAAGTTTATTTATAAAAAGTCGAGTGCATTTAGATCCTCATCTTACAACTCACATACACTCAATCCAAATGGACGCAAGACTTAACTATGACAAGTGAACTTTTTACACAGTTGAGAACAGAAGTGAGAATGTCATGACATCTGTTTGGGAAGGAAATATTGTGACATGAACCAAAAGACACAGAAAGAGCAGAAATACAAAAATGAGATTTCATACAGCCAAAGAGCTTTCTCACAACAAAATAAACTCCAGAGTGTACATGTAAGGCAAAGAATCTAAGAGTGTGTTTCAAATCCACACGTCTGATAAGGCATAAAGGTCCAGAATGTACCCAAGTTGAAGGACAACCGGCCTGATGAAAAGGGGGATGGCTATGAGGAGGCTTTTCTGGAATACAGCACAGAGTCCAGCAATGTGTTACTAAGTCCATCATTCCTAACCAGGAGGCAGAGACTATCAAAGATACAGAGTTGAACTCTCACAAATGGCCGAATGACTGTTCCTGAGCACAGAAGACTTCTTAAAGAAAAAGAGTCCTTTAGGAACAGTTGAGGGAAGGTGAACAAAATCAGCCTAAGATAGTTCGACTCCAGAGCTGTACCACTCCAGGTCCCCACAGTCACTAAACTCTAATAGAGTTAATCAGCATTAAAGACACTTTGACATATTTGTGGCTTTTTTCCCTTGGAATTTCAGCTTATCAGATAATCAAATGGCATTTACTCAAAAGTCTGCTGATCATAAATATGATATTGTAACCTGATGTGGGATGTCCTTCTGTACGGTGTGAATATGTTTTATTACCATTGGTTAATAAAGAAGCTTATTTGACCAATAGCCAGGCAGAATAGAGCCAGGCGGGAAAAATAAACAGATACAGGGATTAAAAACAGTGGAGTCAGAGAGATGGTAGCAGTCACTGGAGAATCAAGATGTGAGGTACCAAACCAAGAGTCTTGTGGAAAAACATAGAATAATTGAAATGGGTTCATTTAAAGTTGTAAGATGTAGTTAATAATAAGACTGAGCTAATAGGCCAAACAGTTTGCAATAAATATCAAGCTTCAAATATTGGCTATTTGGGAACTGTTGGGCGGGAGAGAAACTTCCAGTTACAGTAACCAAGTTACCCATATGCTTTGAGATCATTTCAAACCATAGACTATGTGCCCGGCATGTTTGATTTAACTTACGTTTAAGAAAACAATGTCCATCTTGCCATACCATGGGACTCCCCATGCAGTCAGCTTTCACAAGCTGAACAGGTAGCTTTAGTCATAAACCTTGTTCCCCTTTTCTCTTGCGTATCTTCCCCATGCCTTCGAATCAGAACAAGGTACTGTGTGTAAGGTGTGGCAAAGAGGCCCAAGAGCACCTCTGAAAGCAAGCTCGAAAGCAACGAGTGACCCACAGGAAATGCTGAATGTGACAGTTTGATAATATCTGCTTGCGGCTCTGGGTCAGGCAGTTCAGATTGATTTCTTCAAGAAGTAAGACTCTTGTAGTAGCTAAAACAACATTCCTCCGTGGCCTTTCCCATGGCATATTTGACGTGCTGCCCGACAGAGAGGACACGTCTCTGTAAGGTTCCAGGCTCGCTCTTGGACAGCCTGCTCGGGACTCAACCTCCTCTCTTTACTCGTCCTGCCACAGTAAGGGTGACCTTGAAATTCTGCACACCTGCTGATTCCTGGGCTTACGAGCTGGTGAAGACACACCCTGTTCTTGAGATGCCAGGAGTAAAGGAGTAAAGTCACAGCTTTTTACGTGCTGGACAAGCAGAGAACTTTTTCCTCAGCTTGTGTTCTCATTTCTTAGCAGGAGCTACAGGGGACAAAACATCATGAGTCCTGGATCCCAGCTCTCACCAGACTGATGATTAGGGATAATGCTCTTTCTTTCTTTCTTCCTTCCTTCCTTCCTTCCTTCCTTCCTCCTTTCCCCTTCTCCCCTTCTTTCCTTCCTTTTCCCTCATTCCCTCTTTTCCTCCCTTTCTTTGACAAGATCTAACTATGTAACCCTGGCTGGTCTGGGACTCACTATGTAGACTAGGCTGGCCTCAAATGCATAGAAATTCTCCTGCCTCTGCCGCTCAAGTTCAGGGATTGAAAGTGTGTGCCAGCATGCGTGTCTGCTTCTTTCAAGGCCTCTGTTTTCCAAGCAACAATAGTGCGTCCCAGAATTGTTAATAAAACTAGACACATTAATCTTTTTGGAGTGCTTACCATAGAATTGAGCTCACAATAAGCATTCTGTATGTCGGTTATTACTGTTGTTATCATTGGGCTTCTTGTACGTATTTTCCTTGTACTTTACAACTCCCCCCTCAATAATGAGACAAAAAATTAAAAAGATCAAGTGCAGCCTGTTGGCAAATAACAGTAACCATACTTGGGAAATTCAGGTAGGCAGAAGGATTTGAAGTTCACAGTTACAGAAAAGGGCTAGCCTGGGCTCCATGGAACTGTCTCAAAGAGTCAAAAAATGTAATATGTATACATAAAGCTCCTCTCAGAATGTAGAGCCTGAGGCAAGAGGATGGTTTTATGATAGCCTGAGATTCTGTCTCAAAAATATCCAAGGGCTGGGTTGCAGCTCAGCGGTAAAGTGCTTGCCTGACATAGTCCTGGATTTAGTCACCGGACCGCATACAAGAGACTTCACGGTCTTGTTCTCCAGCTCTTCTAGTTCTTGGTGTGGGCCGGGTGTTATTTGTAGAGTGAATGATGTACGGTATGTTGTATGTTAAACCCAACTTTTTGTTTGTTCCTGTTAGTTTTTCTTCTGAGACTGTTTCAAGTAGCTCAGGCTGGCCTGGAACCCCTTCGCAAATCTGCAGAAGGCAGCCTGGCATTGCAGCCTGTCATACTCACAGTGCCCGCCAGAGGCTGCTGTTCGTCCTCCCGGCGCTGCAGCACCACAGCGCTTCCTGCAACCTGGCGAGCCCGCAGCTCTTCGCAAGGACACCGCGGAGGGGGCACGTCCGTGCTCCCACTTCCTCCCGACGCAGCCTGTGATTGGCTCACAGCCTTAAGAAGAACACGTGAAGCAGCAGCTGAGGCTGGCAGAAACTTGCCGGCAGTCTCCGGGTAGCATCGCACCGTACCGTGGTCAGCTCCGGACATCCCGGCCTGAGGACAATGAGGTCATCGTGCGTCCTACTGGCCGCGCTGCTGGCGCTGGCCGCCTACTACGTGTACATCCCATTGCCCGGAGCGGTGTCCGACCCCTGGAAACTGATGCTGCTGGACGCCACTTTCCGCGGCGCGCAGCAAGTGGTGAGCAGAGCGAAGGGAATGCCCGGTGTCGCCCCTGCTCCCTGAACGAAACCCCCATCGTTTGTCCTGGTTGCCCGTGGGCCCTTGCGGGTGTCACGTTTGCATCCTTGCACTGCAATAGGAACACCCCCAAGTCGCCAGTGTTCCCGTGAACGCGCATCCCCCCTCCCTATCGCTTCTTCTGATTCCCTGGCTGTTGTATTTGCATCCTTGCAACGCGACGGGTTCACCCGTGTCACCCTTGCTATCCCGAGTGTGCGCTTCTCCAGGAGCCCTAGTCCGATGGTGTTCGCATCCTTAAAGTCCGAGGGTTAGACCTGCGTCTGGAAACAGGTGAAGTTCTCGCCTGTCGTCTCCGTGACAGCTGTTTAATCTTTCCTAGATCTTAAATTGCGCCGCTGCTTTCTTGGTTTGCAGAGTCTTGGGCCAAAGCCTTCAGCATTTAGAAAACCACCCTGCCCCCACCTTCGCTTTCCCACCCGCGGGCAGAGGAGGAGTTAAATATTTTTAGCGAAAGGGATTGTGATTCCCCGAAAAGCAGAAGCGGGCGCGGGCAGCTCCCCAACGTCCCCAGGCCTTAGCGCTAACTGCTCTGACCTTCGATTCTCTTCCTGGCACCTCTCAGCTCAGCGCTGGAAAGGGAGGCTGGGAGACCCGGAGGGCTGTAAAGGTCCTTGTTTGCAGACTGTGCTTTCTGTTTGCTGGCCGAGTTTGTTTTGTGTCCTCCGACTTTGGGGAAATAACCTTGGCCCCAGCTAAGTCGCGCTCTGGCCTTCTTTAACCTGATAGGATGGCATTTCTCTGCACTGTACCCTGCCTATGTAGGTTGCGCCCCCCATGGGCAGGACAGTGCAACTGTTTAGTTTATTCCACGGTAGGAGGGTTGTTTTTACTGTCAGAACCAGTCGGCAGCTAAGGCTGAACCCCATGAGTGGATAGAATTTTTGAGATGTTTACCTTATCCAGGTTCCCAACGCTCCTCCACAATCAAGTCACCTTTTACTTCTGCCCATCTCTGAGCCTTAATACTGGGGGCTTTGTGGTTTGTTTGGATTTTGGTCTTTTTGTGATAAGGTTTCTCTGTGTAATCCCAAGCTGTCCTGGCCTCAGACTCAGGGATCCACCTGCCCCTGCCCCCTTAGCGCTGAGATTAAAGGCCATGCAGCACCACCGCCCCGCTCTCTCTTTTTTTAAAGTATGTGAACATGCATTGCATTATTTATTATTTATTTTTATTTATGGGTGTTTTGCCTGAATGTATGTCTGTGTACCACGTGGGTGCCATGCCCACAGAGGCCAGAAGGGCACGTTGAATCACTTGGGACTGTAGCTATGGAGGGTTATGAGCCTTCATATGGGTGTTGGGAATGAACCCAGGACCAGTACTCTTAGCCCATAAGCTCCAGCTGGGTTTTGTTCTTTTTTGTAGACAGGGTCTCATTATGTAATTCTGTCTGGCCTGGATGAGTAGCCCAGTCTGGGCTTGAACTCTTGGTCCTGCCTCCACCTCCCAAACACTGGGATTACAGGCCTGGACCACTTATCTAGGCTTTAACAGAATGTGTTGTTTGAGACAATGTGTCATGTAGCTGAGGCTAGCTATGAATTTGCTATGTAGTCAAGGGTGACTTTAAACTCCTGATCCTTCCTTCTTCACATCCCTAGTGTCAGATTATGGGTTGTTTTCTTTTTCTTATTTTTGGTTTTTGGAATCCATATCTTGCTCCTTGTAGCAGTTAAGTAATTCAAACTGGCCTTCAGCGCATCATCTTCCTGCCTTGGCTCCTGAGGCTCCCAGGAGTTTGTTTAAAAGCCTGCAGTGTGTTGGAGAGAGAGGCTGTTCTTCCCCAGCATGCCTAGCAGTCTGTGTGTTGGAGAGAGGGTTTCTTCCCCAGCATGCCTTGCAGTCTGTGTGTCGGAGGGAGGCGTTTCTTCCCCAGCATGCCTTGCAGTCTGTGTGTTGGAGAAAGGCGTTTCTTCCCCAGCATGCCTTGCAGTTTGTGTGTCGGAGGGAGGCTTTTCTTCCCCAGCCTGCCTTGCAGTCTGTGTATTGGAGGGAGGCTGTTCTTCCCCAGCATGCCTTGCAGTCTGTGTGTTGGAGAGAGGCATTTCTTCCCCAGCATGCCTTGCAGTCTGTGTGTTGGAGAGAGGCGTTTCTTTCCCAGCATGCCTTGCAGTCTGTGTATTGGAGGGAGGCTGTTCTTCCCCAGCACACCTTCCAAACCCCAGGGCAGGGCTGTCCTGAGCTTCAGTGTTGTTCAGAGCTCCACCACAGTAGGGTCGTCCATTTTGTTCAAACAACAAGATAAACTGGGTGGCGGTGGTGCACACCTTCAATCCCAGCACTTGGGAGGCAGAGGCAGAAGGATCTCTGTAGTTTGTGGCCAGCCTGGTCTCCAGAGTGAATTCCAGGACAGCCAGGTTGCACAGACAAACCCTGTCATGAAACACCAAAAACCAACCAACCAAACAGAAAACCTAGAGAGCTTCCGTGAAGTTGGCACAACCTTGTTTGCCAAACAGTTTTGGTTTAGATGGTTTGACTCAATTAAAACAGCAGTTGAAGTTATTTAAGAAATTGGGCTGGACCTACTTTCTAACATCCAGAAGTTTGAGTGCAGCGTGCTATGGCCGTACATACTTACCTTGTCTCCAGTACTGGGGAGGCAGAGGCAGGCAGATCCTGGTGGGTTCAAGGCCAGCCTGGTCTACGCTGTGAGCTTCAGGCTAGCCAGGGCTACATAGTGAGACCCTGTCTAAAAGTAAAGAATGTGAGTGCTTCCTTGTTCTGCTGTCTTTGGCCTACACCGGTTTCCTCACTTTCCCTCTCTCCTGTGCCCTGGGTCAGACCATTGACTGTGGATACTGAGCTTCCTTCCTTGGGGTCCTGGGAGCTGCTCAGAACTTTCCCTTTCATTTGCTTTTCATCATTTATGGTTCTTGTAGCAGGGGCTAGCCTTGAACCCCTTATCCTCCGGTATCCAGCTCCCCAGTGCAAGAACTGCCGAAACACTCCTGCTGCCTAGGTCATCCCCCATTCCACATTGACTCAGAATTCTGGGTGCTTCCGGTGTTTTTAGCAGTAATGTTCCTGTTCCCTGAGGTGTATTTTCAGCCAGGTGAGTGGTCTCTTCCTTAAGAACTTCCCAGATGATTTCAGTTGTAGCGAAGTGTGAAAACCATGGTCTTTCCAGCGCTGGAGTGGTAGGGCGAGACAGTTGCTTCAAGTTCAAGGCCAACCTGGGGTATATTCTGAAATCTTCTGTCAAAAAAAGAAAGAAATCCCACCAAGTTGTACTATGATATGAATAAGACGCAATACTGTTAAGGATAGTATTTATTTTGGCCATATTATAGATGATGATCTATGTTTTGCTTCACCTATCCAGGTAACCTAGCATGTATGATTAAGTTATCAGATTAGTGGGGTGATCTTCAAGAGTCTAAAGCTGTGGGTCGTGACCCCCACAGGGAATCACATATCAGATATTTATGATTTTACATTATGATTCATACGGTTAGGAAGTAGCATTGAAATAGTTCTATGGTTGGGGGCCACTAGAACGCCAGCAATTGTATTCAAGGGTTGCAGCTCTGGGAAGGCTGAGAACCACTGGTCTTGGGAATAAGATGCTAACGAGGCAGGTTTCAGTGTGACAGCAGAGCAGTCTGACCGGACAACAGAAACCACAGCCACAGGTGTAGCTGGAGGGCAGAGGCCAGGAAGGAGGAGCCATGCCTAAGAGCCTCTTTCAGGTGTTGGCCTGGCATTGTAGCTCAGTTGACAAAGGTGGCCAAGCATGAGCAAGGTTCTGGGTTCAATCCTTAGCACTGCATAAACCAGGAGTTATACATGCCTGTAATTCCAGCACCCAAGAGGTGGAGGCATCCTTAGCTACAAAGCATGTCTGGGGCCAGCCTGGGCTACAGGTAAGAAAGAAAGAAAGAAAGAAAGAAAGAAAGAAAGAAAGAAAGAAAAGGAAAAGGTTGTGCAGTGAAAAGATGGATGCTGTGTTGCGCCTTTGGAGGTGAGCTCTGCCCGGAGAACACACAAGGCCCCTTCCTCTCTGGCGTTTTGGCAGTGCCCATCAGAAACCCTGGGAGCATGTTTATTCTTGGCCACCAGTCCCTTCGGGTGGAATTTGTTATGCCATGATGGAGAGAGGCAAAGCTGTAGCTAGAGGATTGAGAACCATCTGCTAGTCCAAATACATGGTCATTTGTAAGACACAGAGGAGCAGGCAGGTCACGCCTTTATTCCCAGCACTCGGGAGGCAGAGGCTCGCTGATCTCTGAGTTTAAGGGCAGCCTGGTCTACAGACTCAGTGTCAGGACAGCCAAGCTAGGCAGAGAAACCCTGTCTGGGGGTGGGGGGGACGGGAGAGGAAAGGGTTGGAGATACAGCTCAGTGGTTATCTTGTATGCACTGGTACTTCAGCTGGTCCCCAGCACCCTGCAGTCAATTCAATGAATGAAAATGCAGGAGCAGTACAAGATGGTGGCGGGGAGTGCTCGCCTAGCATTTGTGAGACCGGGAGTTTGATCCCTAAACAGCAAAAATGAAATTGTCATCTACTCATGCTATGCAGCTAGAATGTAAAATAATGTTAATGGGTGCTGGGGAGATGACTCAGTCAGCGGAGAAAAATGCTTGCTGTGGGAATATGCGGACCTGAGTTTGAATCCTCAGTATGCATATAAAACCTGCGTATAGAACACATGTCCATGGTCCCAGCTCATGCCCGTATTCACACTACATGCCTGAATTCCTAAATCATGCCTGTATTCCCATCATCACACGTCCACATTCCCATCATCACATGTCCACATTCCCATCATCACACGTCCACATTCCCATCATCACACGTCCACATTCCCATCATCACACATCCACATTCCCATCATCATACGTTCACATTCCCATCATCACATGTCCACATTCCCATCATCACACATCCACATTCCCATCATCAATGTCCACATTCCCATCACATGTCCAC